TCCATAGCATCATTCTCTGAACTGGGTAGTCTGGAGAAGGAGCTAGGCATACTCTGACCAGCCCCCTCCTCCCTACCTTGTAACCAGGATGTAAGCTCTCTGCAACGTGCTAAATACTCTGCTCCATAGGCCTGGTCTACTCATGTCTACCTCTGACTCCCTGAGAAACTTTAAATCTGGATGTAAGGATGAGGTCATAAATCTAAAACACGACAGCCTTAGGATCTTTCTCTGGCAATTTATCTCCATATAGTTATAATAAAGTAAAAACTGACCACTGCCTTAACCTGAATCAGCGAGCTTATCCTGTAAGCAGTAAGTAAAAGAAGGAAGTAAAGGTAAACTGGCAAAGCTGATGCTTTATCCTTCACGGTGGAAAGTTCAGAGTGTCTGAAGCTGTCAAATCAGGAAACAGCAGGGGCATTTGTTCGAGCCTCTCTCTTCCCCATTTAATGGACTGCATCTCTGTCTGTTGTTGTTACTGCACCCATCTGCTGCCCCAGGCTGTGTTCACGACTACGGCTGTATAGCAGGTTTGAGATCAAGAAGTGTGAGGCACCCGCTTTGTTCCTCTACAGCAGTGCTTTGCTTAGGCAGGTCTCTTTCCATATAAAAATGGACTTTAATTTCTCCATCTCTAAAGAATGTTGATGGAAACTGGTTAAAATTACATTATCTAGAGATCACTTTGGGCAGCACTGACAAATTCCCAATGTTAAGTCTTCTTTATCCATGAGGATGGTATGTTCTTCCATTTATGCCAGCCTCTTTGGGTTTCCTGCAGCAGTGTTTTGTAGTTTTCTTTCTGTATGTCTTTTACACATACTTTGTTAGGTTTATTCCTAAGTATTTCATCTTTGGGGTGGCTATTAAAAATGGTATTGTTCTCTTGATTTCTTTTCCCAAGTTCTCTTTTTCAGTGCAGAGGAATCCAAGTAATTTTTGTGTGAATCTCATTTCATATCCAACCAATCCTGATATCCTGTCATTTTGCTGAATCTTTCAATTAGTTTACTAGTTTTCTTGCTGAGTATCTGGCATTTTCTATATATAAGATTGTATTATCCGCAAATAGGAAGCGTTTTGCTTTTTCTTTACTAATTTAGAGGCCTTTTATTTATCATTCTTGCCTGACTGTCCTGGCCAGCCCTTCTAATGCAATACTTGGACAGGAGTGGTGATGGAAGGCGGCATTGTCTGGCTTCTGTCTGCAAAAGGGATGCTTTCAGTCTCTCTGCATTGAGAACACTGTGGGATCTTGGCTCTGCATGGGGCGCAGTAGTTACACATGGGGCTGCGGTCCGCATGGCCGCAGTTAGAAGAGGATGTAGTACAGGGGTTATGAAGATCACCCAAAAGCAGAAGCTAAAAAGAGCAGGTAGAGAAAAAAAGCCTTTTTCCTAGGGCCGGCACCCTTAATGTACAAGTCTAGCATCCTAAACTCTAGGAAATAAGTGTGTTTGTTAAAGTCATCACGTGTTCTATTTGTTATAACAACATAGATAGCTCAGATAGAGGATCTTGAGATTCAACAATTACCCTAACTTTTTACTACTGAAATATTTTATAATCCCTACATGAATAACTGAATCAAGTGTTATGAAATTATCCTCCATTCCATAAAAAGACTACTGAATTCAAAATATTTTACATTGCTTAAAAAAAGTATAGCAGTGTTTTACTGCACACCTACTTTTCTATGCAACTATTCAAGTTCTTACAATTTGAATTAATTTTTTTATATTCTATATCAATTAATTGCTTGAATTTTAAGTTCACATTAGGTAACAAAAAACATTTAGTACTTTTAAAAAATTAAAACTGGGACCCAATATTTAATAGTAGAGTAAGAATATGTTCTCTAATATTAAGTAATAGAGGGGGGGAAAATTCTTAAATCATGACTTTGAATAAGTTTTAATTTCCTAATTAAAAAAAGAAAAAACCCTCTATAGCAATGGCACTCAGAGTCCACAAAGTTCCTAATTATTACTGACAGTTATAATTAAATTCCAAGAATCAATGTTCAACCTAATATTTTAATATCTCTGGACTTTTATTGTCTTGTATTTTCAGTTTCTATCCATCTGCTGTCAAAATTTACCTATAAAGAGAAATTTTATCAAGAGATCTAACTAGCTAGTCCAAATTAGTCATAATAAAATTTAGGGATCTTCTCTAGAATAAAGTTGAGAACAATGAAACACAAATTTTTCCAGGATAATCATTTTTGTAGGGCTAAAGAGTAACATATAGATTAAAAAAAAAGCGTATTCTGAACCAGGCAGAAACAAACAAGCAAACAAAGTGGAGATTTCCTCTACTCTCATCCTCTCTGAGCAGAAAAAGAACACTTCAATAAACGAGTGCCATAATTAAAGCAAAGTGGAGGAGAAAGCCTGTACGGGGATTATAAACGTAGGTGAGAATGATGATGTATTATTTCTGAAGAAGTCAGCATTCTCACAGTAGGATGAAACATGCAAACTGTTACTTACTGAGACATTCTTTCAAAGCCAAAGCTTGAGCTCTGGCTAACTGCTTCTCTCTCTGTACAATCTGTTCCCCAGAAAAACGTGGAAGGGACAAGAAGTCAAAAGGAAGGCCTGAAAAGCAGGAAAAGTCATTATTACGCCTTAGTACGAAGTTCCCAGAAAATTAGTTTTAACCTAAAGGGGGAAAGGAAGCCAATCACCGATGCCACTGCTTAGTTCAAAATGAAACAATGACTAGGCAGCAGAGAATGCACTCACCGACTTACTCTGCATTTGAACTTGGACCTGCTTCTTCAATTGAGGGAAGGTATGTAGCAGAGAGGTTCCTGTAGCTTCCAGCTGTTCAAACCCCTTCATAGAGCACAGAGGGGACCCAGTAGGCTAGACTCTCACGGGGACCTCCTAGGGAGCCATGTTTCCTGCTACTCATTCCTTGTGTAGGCCCTTCCACTACACATCTGGGCTTGAGAAAGGGACATGGCGTGACTTCTGAGGCTAGATCACAGAACACAGGCAGCTTCCACCAGTCTCCCAAAACGATGGCTGGAACAGAAGGTGGCCTGCATGGAAGAAGCCTCAGACTGCTGTGCGCCCAGGGTGTGAGGACGCCAACAGTCGGTTATGAAAAAGGGGCTCGTGAGGAGGAAGTCCAACTCTTCGGTGCCGCCACCTTAGCTCGGGAGTCAAGCATGTGAGTCACGAAGACCTTGCGGACAACAAACCTAGGTGAGCCTTCGAAGGCCATGAACCCCAGGGGCCACATGACGAGTCATCTGAGAGACCTCAAAATAGAGCCAGCCACTGACCTACTTCAACCCACAGGACAACGCGCAACACGAGTGCACTGGTGTTCTCAGCCACTAAATCTAGATGGTTTGTCTTATGGCAGCAGGTGATTAGCACAGCGCAGGTAGAAAAGGAAAAGGCAGGCGTTGAAATAGAACAAGAAGCTTGATTAATAGACATGGAAATAGAAAAATAGGTGCTTAAAGAAATACTAACATTTTCTAGTTGCAACCTAAATCATAAAAATATGTTACAATGTGTTTAAAATAAAAGGTGAATTTACTGAGGGCATAGTCTCAGAAAACAATGTAATTAAACGTCTAGGATTTCTCCCACTGACATCTGCAAGGCAGTGGATGATGTAATATACAGCCATAGCCCTTGTTAACTCCCACTACAATGACTTCGGTTTCTTGAGGGGTCTGGGTAAGAAGGTAGGGGAAGATCGTGATTGGCTTACAGGATTCAGCTGTGAGTGACTGTTAACAGAAGCAGAAAGGGAGGAACCGCATACAAGAAAGGCAGGTGGGCCAGGGTTGTGGTGTGTCTTTCAGACCCCTAGCTCCCTGCACACTGACCCTCCCTGACCCAGGAGACAGCTCTGACACAAAAGGATTGACAGCAGAACAGCAGCAGCAGCAGAACCTGAAGCCCAAGTGTGAGACTGAGCAGTGGACTTCCCAGCCCACAGAGCAAGTAAAGCCACGAGCTTTTTGGGAGGAGGCTGCTTTGGGGAGTGGGTTTCCTCTGGGCACTTAATTGGAGAGGTTGTTTGCTGACCCATGGAGCTGGAGCTGAGTGTCTTGAGGTTGCAGCTTACAGTAGAGCAGCATTCCTTTGAGTATTTATTAGGAGCCCTAACGGGGTTTGATTATGCTACCTGAGCAGAACAGAGGCCAGGCCTCACTCAAGACTGAGCAGAGACAGGCCTACTTGCAGGAAGGAAACTGCTCTGCTTATCGTGTACGTTCATGTGTGTTTCTGACCTGAATTGTAACCAGTTTAATTTCGCCACAAAACCCCATAATCATGAGCATCATCTGTGAGTTCTGTGTGACCATGGCAACGAATTATTAAACCCAGCAGAGAAGTAACGTGTGGAGAATGTAGAGTGCTGTGGGAGGAAGGGTGGGTGTCAGAAATCGGTTGAGAAGGATGGAGCGTGAAGGCATGTCTGACCTGTGCCTTTCGCCAGAAGGGGTCAGCCATAGCCCCATGTCATTGTTTCCTCCATATTATATAAATTAACCACGAGTACAAACAAACATAAAAGCATTTTTCCTACCTACAGTTGACACTTACTCAGCTTAGCTTCTTCCATCTTTGCTTTCATCTTTCCATAAATTAAATTGAGTACGAATGAGCCGTTGATCTGGTTGGCTGAGTGAATCAGTGTTGCTTTACAACTTCTATTGCCATTACCTTGTACCAAGAAATAATAGCTGCAGCACTCTCCTTTCACGTCAACATCTGGAACTACACAAAAACAGCCAATTATGTCACTACCGAAAAATGCAGCACACGATGGAAAAGTTACCCATATGAACCAAAGAATTTAGTGATGGTCCTGTTACTTTAAAACTAGCCAGCAGCCAAACCATCCAGGGGAAAGGGGCTATTTGGTTCGTGGAGAAAGCTGTTAAGGCAGAAAATCATAAGGAAAAACAATACTCACGTAGTACAAATATTTTATGTGAAATTAATATTGGTATGCGTTTATTCATTAACTTTTGATGTGGCTCTCTACAGCTGTATAACCGGTACTCACTGTGTACCGGCTACTACTATTTCCAGCCTCCATGTCCTTAAAGTACAATAAACAGTCTCCTGGCAAAAGACAAAATCCACCCCACAGGTGGGAATAGAAGTGCACAGACTCTCCTAAGACTAGCTTTCGGCTCTTTGCATGACCATCGTGTTGTTCTCATGTGTCATCAGATGGCTTGGACTCGGAGATTGGATGTACAATACGAAAAATTCCCCCCAGTCCTGCACCATCCCCTAAATGCCACTGCTGTCTGCACCATTGTGACAGCCACCCAATCAGTCCACCTCCATGAAAATCTTCCTCTTGATGGATGGACGTCATGCCGGCAGGGTTCTGTTCTGTCATGCATGGGGTTGCTATGGGTCAGAACCAACTAATGGCACCTAATAACAACAATGTAATGGGTGCAACTACTTGTTTTCAGTGAGGTCTTTGGTGTATTAATCATTCTGTGGGCCAAATCCTCCCCAGTCCTGACAGACAGGTTCTCCAGGAGCACAATTAAGTGTGTTCTGAAATTCCCTTCTCAGCACTGTTATCCATAGTTTGTTCTAACTCATAGAGTCAAATGCTGTTGTATAGTCAATGAGAAATATCTCCTGGTGTTCTCTGCTTTCAGTAAAGACAATGAGACACATAAAAATGGGAAAAGAAAACCTTCCTCTTTTGTGCTGACTCTACATTGGAGCTCCTCCACTGCCTTTTGCATAGATGTAGTCAACTTGATTCCTGTGTGTTTCATCTGGTCAAGGACTGGGGGTATTTGGCCCATAAAGCCAAAAGCTTCCTGAAGTCAAGAGGTTTGCTTAAAATTACAAATGCTGGACTCTGTGGGGCTCAACTTTAGTAGCTACTGCATCAATGGTAAGTTTCTCCTTCTTCCAGTTTCTTGACTTCAGTCATGATTTCTTTATTCATTGAAGTTGGCTTATCTTTGAAGTCTTCCTGACCTTTCTTAAAATGCTTTCTCCACTAAAAAAAAAAAAAAGTCTTTTTTAAATGTGGGGCAGCATTGTTGTAGATTTTTTGCAAAGCTTCAATGACTTGGGAAAATGTCCAATTAACTTTTGTTAAAAATTGGATATTAGCCCTGACCTCAAAATTGTTGTTTTCCTTTGCCCCAAAGTTATTGTGTTTTTTTCCCCTTAACAGCACCCTAGCGAGAGTAAGAGAAGTGCATTGCTGAGAAAACTTGTCTGAAGTCATCCACTGAGTGCAGAACTCTGTGTGACCACGTTTGTTTGGAATACACCCATGCACATATGAAATGGAAGCCTACATGGCGACTGGCCCTTGCATATGGGGATATAGGGCATACACCTGCCCACTCAACCAAAAACAAACAGACATTTGGGATCTGGATTAATTCTGTTGAGCAACATAACTACAAAACATAAACTACCAAGAGCCCATTAATTGCATAAAAGTTTTCCAAATAAAGAAAAAACTATTATGAGGAAATATGTCATCATTAGTATTCCATTAGTAAAAATAATTCTTGTACAATAAAGAGGCACATTCCTAAGTAATAAATTTCTTAATGGTTTTTAAAACCTTCTAACTCCCTTTCTTTTCCCAGTTGAACATTACAAAAATAAAGCCAAACCATATAAACCAAAAGGAGAAATAATATTGCCAGTGACACTTAAAATTAAAAATAAAACCGCCCAGGATGATTGGGAAACGAGGCAGCCTGGGTAATGAGAATTCTGGCTTACTGACGGGTATTATATTCCATATGTAATGGAAAATAATAAAGCCAAGTACTTTGGTGTGGTGGTGAGAATCACTAACGGGGGTGGGTGGGTGGGGGGGTGGCAGGTGGAGGGCCGGTGAGGAGAAAGGTTAAAGAGCCTTCAGGTAGGCCTTTAAAAAAAAGTATCTTTAATGATAGTTTATATATCTATGTACATATCACACATACATGTATGCATACATACATCAAACTGTGTGATAAGTTTGCTAACTTTGTACAATTGTCCATCCTTCATTAGAACCCAGTGTGGGAAAATGTCCGTATCTCAGGAAGATCCTTGATGACCTTCTGCAATAAACCGTTCCACCTGCCCACAGCCTCAAGCAGTCAGTGACCTGTGTTCCGTCTCCTTTAGACATGTATAGAAACCTCATAGAAACGGAACCGTTTGGTAGGTAGTCTTTTTTGTGTCAGGCTTTGTTTAGAAAATTTACATACCATTTTTCAAGTACACCCAAAACTTCTCATGCCTTTTTCTTGATGAGGAATAGTGTACTCTATCAACCAAAGAGATTTTGTTTATCCATTCACCAGTTGGTAAGCATTTGGAGGGTTTCCAGTTCTTGGCTATTATAAGTTTTTTATAGACATTTACTTATAGGCCTGTGTGAGCACGTGTGCTAATTTCTCCTGGCTGAAGACCCAGGAGTGGAAGTGTGGCATTGGAGCCAAATAAACCCAGTGCTATCAAATCCCTTCCGACTCAGAGCGACTCTCTAGGACAGAGCAGAACTGCCCCAATGTGTCTCCAACGCTGTGAACCTTTATGGAGGCTGACTGTCTTCTTTCCCCTGGGGAGGAGTTGGCGGGTTCAAACCTACATGCTTTCTGTAGCTAGCTGCTCCAGTCACTGCTCCTCCAGGGCCCTCATGTGGCATGCTCACTGCTGTCACCTTGATGGGACAGGGAACTGCTCCCCAGGGCATCTGAGACTGCACATCTTCACCAGCGTAGACCACCTCATCTTTATCCTTCGAAGCAGTGCTGGTGGATTTGATTGACCTTATGGCCAGGAGCCTAAGCTTAACCCACAGTGCCACTAGGGCATCTTTTGTGTAGTGCTAAAAAATCCAATCCACTGTCAATGACTCAATTCTGACTCATAGCAAACCTCTCTGGGGTTTCAGAGGTTGTAAATCTTTACAGTAGCAGACAGCCTCATCTTGCTTCCAAGGAGCAATGCGAGGATTTGAACCATCAACTTTGCAGTTTCCAGCCCAATGCCTAAATCACGTCACAGCCATGATTCTTTTTGTATAGTAAGGTGTGGCTTTTAAACAAACTAGCAGATTGTTTTACATAGAAGTTATACCATTTCTCCAGTTTTACCAATCATGTTAGGATTCCAGCTTCTCTCCGTCCTTGCCAGCATTCGATACACTCGGCCTTTTAAAATAGTCACTCTCGTGAGGGCACTATGGGCTCAGACTGCAGTGGTAATCTTCCAAAAGACCAAGGATGCTGAGAATCTTTTCCTTTGCACATTCCGTCCATGTATCTTCTTGGGTGGGATGGCTCTTCAAGCCGCTTGTCCATTTATTTATTGGGTTATCATCTTCTTGAGTTGTGAGAGGACTTTTTTGCAATATTCCGTCCTTTCTAAGATGTATGACTTGAACAATTCAATTTAGTCAGTTGTTTATCTTTAATTTTCTTAACCAAAGCCATGCCAGTTTCCATGGTCGATTCTGCCTCCTGGTGTAGAAGCACAGACATGGGCCCTTGGGCTTTCTCACTCACTCACTCACTGCCGTTGAGCTGATGCTGACTCACAGGACCCGGTAGGTCAGGGCAGAACTGCCCCTGGAGGTTTCTGAGACCGTGACCCTTTAAGGGAGTAGAAGGTCCCCTCTTTCTCCTGAGGAGCGGCTGGTGGTTTTGAACTGCACACCTTTTAGCTAGCCGTCCAATTCCTAACGACACCAGAGCTCCCGGCCTGCGGTTCTGGTGGCTGGTTTTCAGAAGCAGGTTGTCGGGGCTTCCTTCTGAGGCACCCCTGGGTGACGTTAACCCACCACACCTTGCCCAGCGGAGTGTGTTAACTGTCGGCGGTGGGTTTCAAATAGCACATCTTTTTCATTGTGGAGATTCTATCGAAGCCCTAGAGAATGACTTCAAATTCAGGAAAGCAGAAGACCAGTGGAAAAGAGGAAGAACTCTTCCGCAGTTCTAATTTAAGCACACTTCTATGAGAGTCTTGCTTGCCTCCTTTATGTGAACCCATGTAATGTTGCTGATATTTATGGGTACAGAAGTACGAAAACGATATCATCACATGGTTCAACCTAATTCATATGTACACAGCATTCTATTTCATGGGTAAATATGTTCAGCTTGTTATCAGGAGCCATTGAGTCAGTTTCCAATCACAGGGACCCTCTGTACAACAGAATGAAACTCTTGTACCCAGTCCTGGGCATCCTAACCCAAGTCATGTTGGGCCCCACAGTAGCAGCCACCTTGTCCATCCCTCTAGTAGAGGGTCTTCCTCTTTCTCATTGCCTCTCCACTTTACCAAGCCCTACCTTCTCCTGGGACTGGTCAAAGGACAGGAGACGAAATCTAGCCATCCTTGCTTCTAAAGGAGCACTCTGACTGTACTTCTTCCAGAACGGATTGGTGCATCTGTCTGGCAGTTCATTGTACTTTTAAGATTTTTTGCCAGCACCATAATTCAAATGCATTGATTCTTCATCAATCTTCCTTATTCAATGTCCAACTTTCACATGCATATGAGGCAACTGAAGCTATCATGGATTAGATCAGGCACACTCCAGTCATCAAAGTAACATCTTTGCTTTTCAACACTTGCAAGGGGTCTTGTGCAGCAGATTTACACAATAGAATGTGTTGTTTCATCTTTTGACAACTGCTTCCGTGAGCAGATTGTTCAGATGTTCAGCTTCGGGAATTGAAGAAAGCAGGGCACCAGCTTTGGTGTGCACGGCATGGATGACATCCATCTCACAAGCCCGCTTTACTTTCCCCAGCAGCAGGTACGTCGTCAGCTGCATGTAGCACACCAGCAGAATGGAACTCAAGTCACTGAACTCTATTGCTTGAAAATGCTAAGTGTGACAACTGGCACATCTTCTGTCAGGTATTTTCTTAACAATACAAAACGCTACAATCTACACAGAAAGAAAAGGTGAAGAGTGAATGCAAAGTAAATACAGGTGAATGGCCACACACACTTTGAGCCATTTTCAACACAAATGGCATCACTACTGCATACTCTGCTTTTCCCACTCCGTCTCTCTCGAGAATTACGTCTAGCCTGGTGCTAGTCAGTACTATCTCAAAGTAAAGAAAACTGCGAGTGACTTCACAGTATCTGCTTTCTACATTGCAGCAAACGATTTCATGAGAGTAAGAACCAGTTTTTCTTGCTCACCGCTAGTCCCAGAGCACGCACGCTAGCAGGCCGGATCCACAGTCTCTCCAATTCTCAATACAAGAAGAGAAAGGTAAGACTACATGAATGGCCGAATGAACCAATGGAATCAAACCAGGTAGTCGTTTGAGAAAATAGTGCAAAGTGTACTCTGGGGGATGTGGGAGATTGTGGGACACCAGGAGCAACAGGCGGACAGGTGGTAATTCGGGAGACTATAAGGAAATACATGGGTTAGCAGGATGAGCTGAAAGCTGACGTATGATGTGGGAGAGTGAAAGAGGCTGTTCACCTGGGCACTGGAAAATAGATATAGCATTTTCTTGATACACGAGTAATTCCATCTTTTACACTAGCTGAGACTTGGCTCTTCTTTTCACACCGGAAGCTCTGGAATTGGGAGAGTTCCACGTACATAAGTGCCATGGGCAGAACACACATTAATAACTGGCTGTAGAATTTGATTTTGCTTCTACTTCTGCGATTTATAATACATACACTCATAATTTTAAAATATACATGTTTATTATATATGGAAAAGTATTAAGTATCGACATGATTAGTCCTTAATGGCACAGTCTAGTTGGTAATCGACAATCTGGCTTCTAAGATTGTCATGTGATACACATCTTAGTATTATTCAGATGTTTCCAATAGTAATCCCCAAATTTCAGGTGATCATTTAAAAAAAAAAAATCTCATCAAAGCCACACGATAAGGTATTTCTGATAGCTACAGACAAAATATAAAAAATCCCAAGAATATATTCTAAATCAGCGGTTCTGAAACTGTAGGTAGGGACCCCTTTGGGGGTCGAACGACCCTTTCACAGGGGTCGCCCGATTCATAACAGTAGCAAAATGACAGTTATGAAGTAGCAACAGAAACAATTTTATGGTTGGGAGAGGGGTCACCACAACATGAGGAACTGTATTAAAGGGTCGCAGCATTAGGAAGGCAAAGAACCAATGTTCTAAATGAATAAATTACCTTAAAATAAGAAGCTCTTATAGAGCAAGCCACTTAAAAGTTAGAAAAAGCCACAATCAGAAAAATATACTGGACAAGATGTCCAGTATAGACTGACGTTTAGTTTGACATCAAAAGACTTAATTCCTATTAGTCAGTCTTAAATATAAATGCATATATAATGTTGCTTTTAAGAACTTTCTACTTATATAGTAAGATATGCTACTGTAGTTTTATAGTATAATATTCATTTTGATAGTAAATTTCATAGCATGATTTCATGCAGTATAAGTGACACGGACTCTATTTCCTCCGCATACATCTATTTCTGATTTTGTTAGCATCTGCCATAAGCACACAGTACACAGTCACCCTGTGAGGCATCCAGAATGGTTCCAACCACACTTCCTCACGTTCTCAGCAAAGCGCAAGAAGCTGGCGGAACAGTTGCTCTTCCTTCTGAAAACAGCATCTGTTTCAAATTCAAGATGCTCATCACGAGAGGAGCACCTCTGAAACCAATGAAAGATTGACCGCTCACCGTTAATTGTCTTGGGCTTTTTAGCGATGTAGTCTTTCCACTTTCTTGACTGAAGTGGGTTGGGTGGTGGGATGAGTATGTTGCTAACAGTACAAGACAATACAAACAGAGCACCAACCTGGAGAAAAGAGAACAGGTTTCACGGGGCTGTGCCAAGGCTCACTCTGGAAAAGTGCTATAGGATGCCTGTTCACTTACAGCACACCTACTGAATGTGTACACAGTAATGCATTCTTATGCAACAGCTCAAAAACAATACTCCGCAGACAGATAGATAAAACACAGAGAGAAAGGCATAGTCTTCTCGTTACCGTTGAGATATGCAACAATGACCTCAAGTTAGGGTTACAGGTGTAATATGTTTATCTGCAAACAAGACTGGGAGATTCACAAGACTTTGCCATCACCAGCCATCACTTTAAAGCCCTATAACCAGATGAATTATTGTTTTGTTTCAAAAATAAGAATACATCAGAAGGAAACACAGATACGTCTGTTCCTAAATATCAGCAGTTTCATGGGACCAGGCACCAACTGCAGAGAGGACCATGAATTATATGCCAGAGAACACACAGCCAACTGATTCTTGAGCAAATGCACCATTCATTTTTGTAGCCCCTTGGCTGGCCATATAGAAGTTTACTAAAAATGTTTTTTAAAAATCATAATATTCAGGTAAATCCTCAGCTTGATGAAGCAGTGAGTAAGACTAAAGTGCAATTCTGAAAGCTGCACTTCACGTACTGTGTCAGAGAAAGAAGCTGCATCAATCAGCATGCCTCAATAAATACATTTAGCACCAATGCTCGGCAAACTCTGGGGATGTTCAGGCAGGGCATTTGCCAAAGATTTCAAATGTAATGCAAAATCACTTTCAGCTGCGTAATTCAGTTGATTGCCTAACATGAGATAAATGACACTCAGTACATTGGTATTTTAAAGTACTAATGTCATTGCTATTATTTCTTAATGTATGTATTCTTTATGAACAGATCTAAAAATAACCATGTTATTTAGGGAGCAAAATAAGGAAAAATGAAAGATGCTTATTTTTTCTTTATCATTGTACCCAAATATATTTTTAGTTAAATGCATGTCATGTGATCAAGCGTTAAATGTTAAAAAAGTGAAAATATGTAGCAGTGGAAAATTATCGTTAAGTATAAAAGATATATATCTTATTTTCTAGATATAAATATATGTTCTTTCTTACATAACTATGATAAGACTGTCTGGTCCAAAAGGTAGAAGGCTGTAACCTAAGTTTGCTAGAACAGGGCCTTGTCTAATTTCCTTGACATACTGGGGCTGGTACATGCAATTCACTGACAGTGGACAGCTTTATATAAATGCACCGTGCCCCTCCAGCTAAAGAAATAGCCAGTTTTGAGAAAGCCTACTTTTAATTTAACATTTGTTACAGAAATGAAAATAAACACATTAGAAGTCCCTAGGCTGTATGTAACTCCCAAGAAAACAAATGCGTACTTAAAATTGCCTCCTGCATTCATAACAAATTTAGATTCTGATCATTTGTCCGCACGTGTACACTAATCGTCAGAGGGCCTCTGACTGGATGATCATCCGTTCAGGTTATCGCTCTACTCCCAGAACTTAAAGGCCAAATAAAAGTTCAAACCCGAGTACCCATTCACCTTTACAAATGGAAACAGAATGGTAACAATAGCAAACAAAATAGCCGTGAATTCTCCTGTTGGAAAAATACTTCCCAGGCATAAAATTCTCTGCTAATAATGATTCTCTAAGAAGTCAACATTGTCTTATCCTGATCTAATAAAATGAACTTCACTCTTCAAAGGTTTTTATTTACTGTATTTACTGTACTCGAGTATAAGTCGAATTTTTTTCAGCACACATTTTTGTTGAAAAAGCCCCCGTTTTTTGTGGTAAAATTAGGTGCCTCGACTTATACTCAAGTACACATGGTATATGCTAGGGCCAAGCACACCCTGTTTGTTTATTCTTTATAGATTACGCCAGTTCTAGTATTCCACAGCCGTGGCTCAATAAACAATAGAAATGGCAATCTACTGCCATGAAGTTAAAACAAAACAACTGAACTTATGATTTATTAATAAGACGATAGCATAGGGTTAGTTTCTAGGGTCTGTGTTGTCCATTTTTGATAAATGGAAAGGTTAAAGATGTACAGAACTTTGTTAAACTCATCAGAAGTATGTAGCTAATTTTGACTTGAAAAAGTCTCTATATCCAAGTTAGGCAAATTTAATCAGATCTTCAAAGTATCTAGAGAATATTAAGTCTTTTATAGATTTCAGGAGAGTATTTCACATCTGTATGACTATGATTTGAGCTGCATAATCTCCAAGCACAACATTTTAATTAGCTAACAACGGAGCTACCAATTTGGGAACAATCAGGAGCCGGATAATGGTAATAACTGCAGAGCAGGATGAACAGTGACTGTCACTCAAGTGTACATGCGGAGAATGCAGAAATGGCACGCACTCTGATGCACACATACTTATCCCGATTTTAAAAAATGAGTTAACAACCAGGCCTTATGTTCCACTCTTCAGATTATAAAATATATTCCAACCTGGTTTGCAGTACAAGTCTTTGAAAAAGGTAAAGGGGGGTGATTTTTTATGTCCGCTTTACAATTTAAGAGACTGAAAGCCAGCAATTGACACAGCTAGGGCATAAACCCAAGTTTTTGCAGGTCAATGTTCTTCTGCTTGGGACTTTGTTACTGTATTCCTTGCCCTCTGCCTTGTTTTGACAGTAAACGTAAGATGAGTGAGTGTGAATTATTCCCATTTCCCAGCATGAAAAGACCCCTGAAAGAATGTGTTGTTCTGTGCCATCGAGTCAACTCCAATTCACAGAGAGCCCTCAGGACAGTGCAGAACTGCCCCATCGGGTTTCCAAGGTTGCAACCTTGTTAAAGACAGGCTGCAATACTTTTATTTGGTGGGGGGGTTCAAACTACTGACTTTTCAATTAGCAGCAAAATCCTTAACCACTAGACACCAGGAGTCTGGAAGCTATTTAGGTTAAAATATGGATACAGATTTTGTTTGTTTTTTCTCAATTCTTAGTGTTTTTTCTTTAAACAAACACTAGACCATTTGATAAGATTTGTATGCATATATTCCTATAGAGGTGTCTGATCTTACTAATCAATATATTAATCTATATTATCATCTATAAACAGGTCTCTTTCCTCTTATGCTCTACCACAGTCTACTTATTTACAGTTTTATTACACCTGCAGTTACTTTTTTGTATCAAAGTATCAGTTCCATAAGAGTAAAGGTTAATATAGATATGCTGATTGTAAGAGGCAGTATTTTTAATTCTGTTACAGAACAAATTATTACTTTAACAATGTTAAAAAAAAAAAAAAAGAGTAAAGGTTAAAATAATTACTATTCGAACCCACTGCCATCCAATAGATCCTGACTCAGAGCAGCTCCTTCCAAGACCATGATCTTTTCAGAAACAGACAGCCTCGTCTTTCTCCTGTACAGGGAGGGGCTGGTGGCTTCGGACACTGACCTTGCAGTGCACAGCCAGACATTTATCCCACACCACCATCAGAGCTGGAGCCCCACAGAGTCCCGAGTGCACGGTAGTACAGATGTATAGACACAAAATGAAGGATACATTTTAAAATTCAAAGTGTGACACATCAGATATTCTTTAGCATTAAAAACTCAAGTTAATGCTAAATTTGGGTTATTCTCTCAAAGGACATTTCAGCAACTACACATAGTGGTGGGATAGCCAAAAAGACCATTAATTTTATGGGGAAAAAAGAGGCTAAAATCTAAAATTTTAAGTAATCATACACCATCAAGAATCTTACAGTCCAAGCAATTTGCTTTAATATAAATCATCTAAGGGAATTATAACCAAGATTTGATCAGAGTGGCCTCATAAGCATGTGAAAGTTGAACAAGGACTAAGCAAGACTGCAGAACAGTTGATGCCTTTGAATTATGATGTTGGCAACACATCTGTCTTGGAAGAAGTACAACTAGAACCCTCCTTAGAAATGAGCTGGGTGAGACTTCATCTCATGTCCATTGGATATGTCATCAGGGAAGGTCAGTCCCTGGAAAAGGACATCATACTTGATACAGTGAAAGGTCAGTGAAAGAGTGGAAGACCTTCAACAGGTTGAGTTGACACCGGGATGCCAAGAATGGGCTCAAACATGGCAGTGGGGAAGATGGTCTGGACCAGAAGGCGTATTGTTCTGTTGGGCAGAGTCACAATGAGTTGGAATTGCCTCAACGGCACCAAACATTAGCAACATGGGAAAACTGCGACAATAATCATTTTCTTCCAGCAAGACCGCTTAGTGCTGTAATAATAAGGAAATGTTATATAACAATTACAACAAATATTTAATACATTTAATTTTTTTCATAAATACAGCAATTCAATAAACAACTGAAAAAGAAAGCTCTTCCTATTTTTCCTCTTCACAATTATATTTAAAATGAGTCAATGATATCAATAACAACAAGCATATGAATGTTTCCGCAGGATTGAAATCAGATGTTGAACTAGTCTTTTAACCAACGTTTAACGTGTTCAAACATTCTAAAACTTTAAAGCAGTCCTATGGGTTATCCGTAAAAGTCTCCTCTCAAAACATCAGTACCTCTGCAGAGTACTTGAGAATTACTTGCAGAAAACATTTATGGCAAGTTCAACATACCTTACTTTGAATCGGTCCCAAATGATATGACACATGTCAAAGAAAACATGTAAAATCAGACGAACGAGATGCATTCCTTTCCCCTCCCATCCTTACACCGTACCTGGCCACACAGAGAAGAAATCTGATCCAACAGCAGCATGGAATTCTGTTTGGTGTTATTTTTCGTCAATCCTCTGAATGATGGAGTCAAAGAACGTTTGGAATGGTAACTATGAATCAATTCCCCCTAAAATAGGTTTTTATTCCTTTTCATAGTTGTTGCATCCACAAGTTTATTAATTCATTGTTAGTGGGGGGGGGGGTTGTTTTTAACTGTAGGGTTCACCACTAATCCTTCCTTAGGGATAATTATTTTCCTGAGGATCGGCTGGACCCAAAGCATCCAGTGAGCAGCATGATGCGCAGGGTCACAGTGACAGGCTGGTAGACGCGGCCCCGTCTTATGGTGCCTGGCTTCAGTGTGATGTGCAGACACAGCAGATCTCTACCAACGGAAGGCTGATGGCACCATTTTCCCAGTAGACTGTGTTCGCTTCCTGCTTAGGAGTCACCTCGTGGTACTGTTTGCAATATGTCTAACTTTTTCACAATTTCTGCTACTGCACACTTAATAGATGCCAGCAGAGTGTAAGCATAGTGCCCTTTTGCAACAGGCCCTCGACTACGATGTCTGGAACTGGACTCATGCTTTCTCTAAGGTCTGCCAGGAGTTTCCAAATGAAAATTCAAGGACGATATTGCGTTCTATTTCTAACCATGTCTAACAAGACAAAATATTGTTGATGATATTTTTAAAAGAAAATATGGACTTCAAAACATCCTTACAAGTAGAGGGAAAAACTGAGGCAAAAGATATTTATAGAGGTCTAAATACAGGCATGGTACATATGTAAATATATTTATATATAACGATAGGGAAATAGATCTAT